TTTTATGCATAATTACCTTTATTGTTAGATTGTGTAATCGTTGCGAAAAAAGATTTGTGATTGAATTTGGGTGTTGAAGACCTGCTATCCCATAATAGAGGACTTTCCTCTATGTATAAAAGTAACAATAGATTTCCAAAAACGCATACTGTACCGAATCTAATGCTATAGAAAGATTTTTATTGTTTGAAAGTTGTTTACTGCACAGAAGCAACCAACGCTTTACCAAACAATTTTTAAAGAATATAAATTTCCCAGGTATCAGATTCAGTATAGTTTAATGATTAGGCTGCCCAATAATTTTGTCGATGACTGATAGCGTCTTGGCGTTCAGTTAAAACAGAACGGTCGTTTCGTTCCAACAATGACTCGAGAGTGGCAGAAAGCAGCGCTTGCACGAAGATGATAATTTTTCAGAAGAATCCGCACGCTGAAACGGAGCTTCGGCTCCAATCTCGATTATTCGCGCGCGCGATGAGATTGCAGAACATCACGGAGGAAGGTCGATCCCCCGCTCGTCCGCGCAGAAAGTTGTACCGGCTGTGTAGTTATGTGCATCGGCTTCCGAGGTTACAGACGGTTAGTAAGAAATACTCCACGGACGATTGTATCGAATCGGACTGCAGCTTGGCGGAGAACACTGGGCGAGTCTTTCTCGCTCGCGGCCCGCACGTACACGCATCGCTCTGTTTATACACTATGGCATAAATGCCCGGAGCAGTCGTGCGATATTACTACCTTGCCTCGTAATGAACCGTTAGCGTAACTCTTAATACCGAAGTATTTCAGAAGCTATTCGGAGCGTAGATGCCGAATAATTGATAGCGACGAACGTAGCGGCCGCTCTGAAGTTTTTATACCAAATTTTTAGGGGAAATCGTGAAAGACATATCGATCCTCGTAAGTTAGAATCGTAAAATTTCATTTATTATTTTTTTTTAAATAAATGAAATACAATTCCAAGCTTACATAGACTTAATAATTTTGTCGTTGGAGAAATTGAGTCGCCAGTAGTAAGTTAAAACCTTTGTAATCAATAATTGAGTCGACCAATTCTGGCAATAGAGTTCCTCTCTAGACTTGTACAAGATCAGACCGTGGTGGTTGACGTGCGGAGTGATTTTAGTTCTAATTTCTCTTATAATTTTATCATGCGCCACGACACACTTTCTATTTGTTGCTGTAACAATTGATAGACTTAATATAACATCTACTTGAAAAGGATCAGTATTACTGATCGAAACGTCGTGAATTACTAAATATACGAATTTTGCCGGAATTGGTCGACTCAATTATTGATTACAAAGGTTTAATAATTTTGATAAATTACGATTGTAGAATATTTTCAGTTCCTCGCACAAACGCAGGTTTTATCGTATCGAAATGATAAAAACTGCAATTTGACCTTGAGATTATAAATACGCGAATTTATCAGCCTTCAGTTCGTCTCCTAGGCGGAGCTTTACAAAGTAAATCGCATTCCGCAGAATAGCCTTGCCATCATAGCGTCTGAGGGCAAATCGAGCATGCGAATCGAGCGTAAACGTTATTGGATGCGGCGAACTCGTAGGGAACGAAGTTCTAATGGGGAATACGGATCCCCTATCGCGTGTCGGACCCGATGGTGATTAACCCTTCGTGGTATTGTGCGAAACAAAAGGCGAACAACGGGAGAAAACACAAAAAGCACGCGATAATGAAAGCACTTCATAGCGCTGCGAGACGTGCATGCGCTATGCGCGTTGTCAAGCGCGAAAGATTGATTTAAAAAAGTCAGCAATTTTAAGGATCTCTCTGAATAACGGAACTAATTGTCCGTGAGGGCGGGAGGTGTTTTACGGGATTTCATTGTTCGACGATCACGTCGCCGATAAAAACACGAATCAAACGTTATGACTCATCCGTCACTCAATTCACATGTTTCACGCGTGTGTACGTGCCGGGATACAGTGAGTCTGCACGATTTTCTACCACTCTTTATGGACGACACTTTTAAAAGCATCAATATATAATGTTTCAAGCGTCTAATTTTAACGTTATTTAGAAATATAAAAGAGAGAGAGAGAAAGAGAGAAAGTCAAAGAACTAATAAATAATGAATATAATGACCTAATGCGTGCGTTTCTGAATTAATAATAAATCGCTTTAGGCTCAATTTTTCTTTCGAGTTACAGAAAGAAATGTCAGACTTGATTGGTATACAACTGATACGGATAAGATTCGACTACTTATTTTAATTCATTAATTTTTTTTCAAATAAACTGTAATTTTACAATTGATACGCAGCGTGAGATTGTTGGCCCTCTCTAGACATGCAATTGAAAACGTTAGGAAGGACCTCGTTGTCAGAGATTAAGGCCCCGGCATTGTCACGGAAGAAACCGTTTCTGAAAACAACCGGAAACGTCGAATCAAGCGTGCCCCTCGAGCGCGGGTGGCATGAGTTAGGTTTTTTACTGATTTCATGCCCGGGCCTGCGTGCGCTACGGTGCAAGAAACCGTGAATGGAACATGTTTACAGTTAAGATATGTCAGCGGCGTGATATCCGCCCGCCACATATGACCGGCAAAAAATATATCATGAGGCTGAAATGCCGTATTATAGAAAGGCCGTAAAGAAAAAGGTCGCGGTCGTGAGCGCCTCTTAAAATACGAGGCGCGAGACATTCCTTTTCTTTCTGATTAGTAAACCCTTTCTTGTACCACGATATAATCTTTCTCCCCATTTTTTCTGAGAATTTCTTTTACAATTTTTTTAAAAAAGGGAATTCTTTTTTAGAAAGTACTTGTATATACAAGTAAGCATATACAAGTAAGCATATATATGCTTACACATATTTTATACACGATATATTAATGGGAATATATTAGCCGTCAATTATCTTTAACGAGAAGAACCTTAAAATAGGCCTTTTTTCAGTTTTATATTTCAATTAGCATTTTAACACACGTTTTTATATTCACAAAGTGGCTGAATACAAAATTGTACGAAAGGGTTGACTACAAGTTGTAATATTCGTAATTCCGTCCCATATTTTTGCATAATTGTTATATAAAAAAAATTACACATCTGAAAGAAGTATAACGGTACGCCAGGAGATGAAATTATCCCGAAAGAAATTTATCGCCGTGTTATCGTTACGTGCGATGTATCAGGATAAGTGATGGAAATTAGATAAACACGCGACTCTGCATGTAACAGTTTGACTACAATCTCTTAGGCGACAAGGCGATCGTTAAGGCCTCGTATCCTTCGTGTTACAGCGGAATCGGATATCTGTACTTTCGCGGCGAGGACGGAGCATTTTCACATCACGAATAAACCATCGACGAGACTGTTCACGGCAGACACGAGGCCGAAGGCCCTGCGGGAGTTGTACGAGCTCGCTGCTATAGTCGCCGTACGAAGTTTAGATTCCTTGAGGAGGGATGGCAGCTCGATGGATATGTTCCTTTGCACGCCGGTCCTCGGCAAGAGGAGACGGGACCACAGCCTCGACATCGAGTCTAGAGTCGTAAGTACATTCCTCTCTCTTTCTCTACGAAAATGTCAGGACATGTTCTCCATTGATTTTTTTCTCCGCGGTCCAAGTCAACTTCAGGTCGATCAATGTCAAATACTTTTAATTCCACTATTATCAGTTTCGAGATGTCGAATCTAAGCATGTCTCGACAAATCTGTGGGTTTTTCAATTGCCTCGGACGAATATTTTACAAAATTTCTCTGTCGTGTCTTGAGCAACTTTTAATCCAACATTGTCTTGAGGACAAGAATTCACGTTTCACGTCTACAACTTTGCCGCGCGATTATCTAATCACTTCTTACCAGTGGCGCATAATGAGATGAGAAAGTTGCACAAGCAGCGCATTCATACATATATTTCCTCAATGAGTTATGTAAGTCTGTTCATCGCCGTGGTTACACTGTTCTCATTGACTTGGCGAGAAACTGAGTATTGAGCGCAGACGTTTGGTTGGCATCGGGTGACCGCGCGAACATAGAGATTATAGTGCACATAACTCAATATAATTCTCAACGCGCGGCATTAACTTAGAAATGCAAAGCAGAGCCAAGTCTGACCTCCTTGCCTACTTGATTCAACGTAATTAACTTTCACCGTATAATTGGAGAGTTCATAGGATCGAATCTTGTTTCTTCGAAACAGTACCGGCAATTTCGCCGAGCGCCGTTTCCTCTCCACCTGACAACGCGAATGTGTCACGATTAACTTGCATTTTTTTCTCCGCACTTGAATCGGCATTAAACCGGTTCACATCAAACGGAGATTGTCACTCGCGACACACAATTATAACATGACAGTAATACTGTACTTGACAAGCAGGGGAATGTAAATTCCACAGATGATCTTCCGTTAAAGATCCAGGATGACTTTCAAGATAAATTGATCCAACGTGGACACATACGTACATACATGCACAAATTCGGCCTGCCTTGGCTTTATGTAAAACAATATTGAATTCTGTTACTTGTCTTGTTAAAATAAGTTGTGCTAAAAAATACAAATTAATTTAACGCATAAGTTTAGTGTATTAATTAACTCTGTACACTTCAGCTAGTCATACGGAAGCTCCCGCGATACGTAAAATTGATCGAAAAGTAATTGGCATGAGTAAACATTTTCTTTAAATCGCTACTCGGACTTGCTTCCTTCTCGAGTATGCGAAATTAAAACTTGCCCACAGTGGTCCGACCGTTTTCACGGATTAGTCGCGAACAACCGGCTGGCGGCGCATCGCGTGGAAAAGTTGGCAGACGGTTGGAACCCAATCCGTTCCGTATCCCGTGCGTGAAACCCGTCCGGTCGGCGAGGTGACACGCCGACAATAGTTAACACCCACGCAGGTGCTGTAGCGCGTAAAACACATCATTCGCTCTTCTTCCTTCGCCGCGGCGTCGAGTTTCCCGCGGGGTGAACGGGAGGCGACCCTCTCGTTGCGGGGCAACTCCTGGATCCCGCGGAAGGTACAGAAACGAGTCATTTGTTACGTGCTCTGGGACCGGGTCGCATAGTAACACCAAGCAAACACGTGCATACAAAATAGCACAACTCTTTCACACGGCACGAGAAACACGCTGCTTCCTCAAGTACTCGTAATGTCTACTCGACTACCCAAGAAGCAACTTCTCAGTATCTCAATTTTGTGACAGCAGATAAGAGTTTGTCATAAAATCAAAGGATACGTATGAAATGTTCTACTGTAATAGTGACACTCTTCCACGATGCTAGTTTTATCGAACGCACTTTATAACTATACTTTTTAGACATATTGAATCTATGTACAAAATTTAGTAACTCGATTAATGTATTATCCATGTTCAAAGAGACAATTAATATCAAATAATGGCACGCAAAGCGTGCAAAAAGAGATATTTTATAAATGGGGGCGGCGGTTTTATCGCGCTCACGATTATTCTGTTGCAGCCGGCTGTTATCGAGGATCTTCGAAGGTGGACATCCACCGAAGCGCTCGGCGACGTCACCGTACCGCCGGACTGCGCGTCCAGGATCTTGGGCGACACGACCGGCGACGATGCCGTCGATCACAAGCTACCCAGCCCCGAGGAACAGGTTCAGGCTATCGCGCTCAAGTAAGCGGTTTATCTCAATACGTCGCTTGATTGCTGATAGAACGGGAATTGCAGAAACCGCCGCGCGAAATAGAGAGAGACAGGAAAATCTTTTCGTCATTGAAGATACGATTGATGATCGATAATCTTGATGAATGATCAAAAACTTATTTTTGGTTCAATTTTCGATACATTTCTTCGCCGTCAATTAGACTTTAGAGTCTTATTTATGTAAGAATATAAGTATAATAATAGTAGATTCTTTACTTGGGGAAAAATTAATCAAATTTAGTATAACGCATTTTATACTATATGTTAAAAAACGATCATGTTTTAATATCTGATTAATATTTGTTATTGATTTAATGTAAAAAAAAATGGATGCCAAAGATTTGCCAAAGATAAGAAAAAAAGATTGAAAATCAATAATTCGTTGAACAATTTGAGAAGTTATAGTTAAAATAATGCAATTCTACATAAACCAATACATATAAGTGTGTATAAGTCAAAAGTCTGTCGCACGGCTTCCTGTTACGTGACTTGATATGCTCTTCCTCCGGTCCATTCAGTTTTGTATCAATGGCAGACCGACAAGCTCCCTATTGTGATCTCGAAATGTATGCTTTCATCGTAGATTCCCGGCGGAAATCGTAGCGGTGGATGTAAGCGGACGAGGTTTCGAAAGAATGTCGATGAGGAGGAGATCCTTGCTGTCAGGGCCAGAGACTCAGGAAACGACGGTGAAGAGGAGATCGCGGCCACGCAGGCCGAGAGGGAAGAGACGAAATACGATCGCCGGTACTGATCAGAAGGAGATTCGACAAGCTATCGGAGGGTAAGAGTTGTCCCTTATAATTAACACTTTAATTTCAACCTGGAGGAATTTTTTGAAAACTTCCACCCTACTTTACTCGCCATTCTTTTAGTTACTACAATTTCTCGGGGTGTAAGCAAACGGGTTTTTATTGTTTCCTATATTTTGCATGTCAAGTCAATGTAATTAAAATTCCGAGTCGAAATTTTGGCCCTATGTTGAACCTTTAAGTAGGACCTAAGACAGTAAAAGAGGTCTAACTGCAAGTACAAAATTGACTCCTACTTTAAAACTGATGGTGTCGGAAATTTCTACTTTCGCCAATTTAGCATTGAAGTAGGTTCTTTTGAGTAGGAGCTGAAGTAAATTTTTAGAATTAAAGATTCAAGGGAGGAGTAAAAAATATAATGTCATCAAAGTAGGTTATTGCTGGTCTATGTAGGTGTGTACAGATCAGCTAAGCAGGTGTAAATTATCCTTAGAAGAATCAAAGTAGTACCAAAATTTCGACTCGGGATTCTACTTCATAAAGTGTTGCACGTGCTATTTCATCGTCGGAATCAATAAAACTGATTTTGCCAATCCTTTATTGTGTCACGTTTTGCGAGAGTAACTGTTTCAAGATTGCTCGATTTACAATCCGTATAATGCAGATAATTTTTCATCGTCGTGTAAAAAGGATTACTAAGAAATGCTATCATTGATGGGATTAATGGGCCATTCGCTGAATGCTCAACCCCCTCAACTTTTACGACATGATTAATATACTCGTATAACCAAGGAGTATGCATTTTGCTCGAATACATCTTATCGCAGCGGTTCTGTTACTATAAGGACGCGGTTTCAGAGATCTGTACCTCGAAAATAGTCGGCGATTTGTCACGCTCGATAAAGTGCGCTCATATTTCCGCAGTCGTCCAAGCACGAAGAATCTTCCTTACTCTACCTTTGTATTCCCATTGCCATAATAACAGTTTCAGATCATCTCTGTATCATTGTCGTACGATATCGCAGGCGGAACCACCCACGGGCCTCTAACGATCTAACTTACGTACCAATTGAAATACACGCGAATAATAAATCTGTAACAAAATCGTCATCGTGTGTCACGGCTCATACTCGCGCGTGTCGCGCTTCCCTAAGCGTGCGATGCAAATCGCACTCGCTACATTATTTCGCGTCATATTCACGTCGTTGAGATTATTTATCGCTGTAGGGAGACGACTGGCGACGAGCCCGAGGAGACGATGCCAAGTGCCACGCCGAGAGCGCATCGCTCGGCGAGCACGGACGTCCTGGGCTCGGCGAAAAAGGACTCGCCCACGGAAAAGAAATCGCACTTCAACACGCTGAAGGCATGGGGTATGTCCAGACTGAAACTGATCAGTCCGAAGTCGAACCAGCAGCCACCGCAGCAGCAGCAGGAATCGACGGTAATCAACGCAGAGAGAGCCGAGCAGACGCAAGGTCAACCGAGATCGCCGGAGGAGATCAATATTTACGAGACGGTGACTACGAGACGCAGAAGGGACAAGTCGCATGAGAGGAAGCCGAGCTCGTCCAGCTCGAGCGGCAAGAGCACGGCCAGCATACCAGTGTCGGTGCCGAGCACGGATAACAAACAGTCGAGCGTGAAATTACGCGAAAGCGCCGCCCAGAGGCGAGAACGGCGGAAGGGCAGCAACCGCGACGACGCACCGCACTCGAGCTCCGGAAACTGGAGCGCTTCATCCGAGAGCGGAAGAGCCAGCATCGGCAGCGAGACTACCACCACCACGCATCAGCCCAGGTAAAAAGAAATGGAACATGGAACGTCTTTAATTAATGGCGCCAACTAAGAATTACGGCAAATCTTTAAAGTGGATTCTAGATATTTCAGCGTAGCAGAACGGTTTATAATCCGTTATAGAAATTAGTCACAGAAGTTATTTAAACTTGACAGGAAATTCAATTAAAAGTTGAATCATTTCAGCAATTATTTGCGAAGAGATTATTTTAGACGAGAGGAAAAGTATATTGTTTATGCTCGAATATATTATTTCAGATCCACGACGACAGCTTCGATCGGCACGTCCTCCACTTCCTTAAGTCACATGCGGCGATTGAAGGGAAGGGACACCTCGGCCTCGTCCTCGGTAACCTCCGAAGGTACCCTAACACCAGATATCATACAGGACATCACGGTGGTGCCCTTCTCCGACGATGGCGAAACGTCGTCGGTGTACTCTTGCGACACGGAAGGATATTATACTTCATTTCACATGGACTCGGGCCTGAAAACTCTTAGGGAGGAGGAACCCATGCCACAGAGTCCTTTGACCAAGACTAACGACATTGGCTCGGACCCCACCTCGCCGATTGTCGAGAACGAGTATGAATTATTTGGCAGAGGATCAACTTCCACAACGACCAGCTCGGCTGGAACGGTTTGCACCGCACTTATGGCACCACCGCCCCCCGAGCGCAAGTCCAGCCTCACAGTTGTTGCTATGGTAAGCTCAAGAGTCAAGATTTTGACTGCGATAAGAAACAGCGAACTAATAATTGAGTATTTATTTGTCAAGAAATCGAGAATTTGAATTTTGTATAAAAACGGAATAAAATTAAACATACAAGATTGGCTTATCATTTAATATTGGATTTTCAATTAAAAGTATTTGTATGACTCTGATATTAATTGTTATTAACGCCATCGTCTCATGCAACAATAAATAAATATTGAATTGCAATTAACTTTTATTTTGCTTTCTTTCACTTTAAATCAGCAAATTAGTTGAATTATATGTCTTTGATTAAATTAATATAAAAAAAGCTAGCGTGAAGATTTCTATTGAAATAACTTTTTATATCACATAAACTTATTAAATGTTCTTATGATAAGCTTCGCACAATATTTGTAGGAAATAACTGTGTTTAAGCATCTATATCTCTTCGTCTATATCTTCAGCATATTTAATTTTGTCAACAGGTTCACGGTCAAAATCAAAACGGCGGCGAGTCACCCGACAGTGGTCACAACACATCCTCGTCTCCCGTTGAATCAGCCTCCAGTCCGGCTTGTACCGGCCGTTCCTGCTCCGAATTTGAATATTCAGAGTCCAGCGATCTGGAGGGCTGCGAGCGAATCGAGAGGATCCGCTCGAAGACGGCAATCACGACCAGTCGGATTCCGTCAATGTGCGTGATCACGCCACCCGTATCCGACGACGAGCACGCGAAGGAGACGGACCAGAACGAGAAGAAGACGAACGAACCGACGAGGAGAACCGAACTTCAAGGCGGCGGTTCGGTGTTGATGTCTGCCACCGTCGGCACTTCCAAGATGGAGGTAATCAACGGCCAGGACAAGAATCTGTATGCCACCGTACAGGTGTTGCCGGCGGCCGCCAATAACGACAGAGCGACGGGTCAGTCGTCGTCGTCGTCGATCAAGATCAGTCCGTTGAGTGGAGTTCTCGGCAAGCTTCGTGGCGTGCTTCCGGGTAAGAAGCACGCCACGAAGAATGGCGCCGTGCAGGAGCTGTCGAATGCCGACTCCGGCGACTATGTGACCATAGCCGACGTGAGGAACAACAACGACAAACGCCCCGCGGGTCCGTTTTCATCGTCATCGTCGTCGTCGTCGTCGTCATCAGGCATGACCGCCGTCCGACCGACTACCACCTACGCCAATTCCGACATTTTCAAGAAAGACGCGGAGTACGTAAGTCTGAGCGAGTTGCCGAAGAAACCGGACTCGTCGTTGGAGAGGAAGAGACAGGGTGCTCGAGTCACTCTAGATTCCGAGGGCAAAGTTGTCTACTCGTCCGACAGTCTGAAGAGAAGGAAAGGAGCGCACACGACGTTTAACCCAGGTATTTCGATTATTATTTCAATTATCCAACATTGCTTTTCTGAGGTATCAGCGTGATCTATCAGAATAACGATTGTTCCCACTAAAATCTTAACTTGTTGTTAGCTCAGTTTATAATAATGAAGATTTAACCGATATGATATTAATGATACCAGTATGAGATAAGAAAATAACCGACCCGAGCATTTCATTAAATTATATTAAATTATTAATAGCATCTTTTGTTTCCAACATAAATTTCGAGCACGCAAAAAAGATCCCGATGGAACTAACTCATCGGTTAAGTTCATTATCAAGACAATCTACAACTAATTGCCGAAGTCAGGTTTTCACGCAGCACGTAAAATGTCCAGGTCCTTTCGTGAGGGAAGGCGTATCACCGAGTCCATCGCCGTTGTTTCATCGCGCGATGCCGAACATCCGTGCCGTTACGAAGAGCGTCGACATCGTGGACGCTGCAAACATCAGGACCACACCGCCGACGTCACCTCGGCTGGGCAAGCTAATCATTCGGGCGGCGCGGAGTCCCGATCGCGCGACCAGTCCGGATTACGTGCGCACGCCGGCGACCGTGGTCGGACCCACGAGCCCGACCAGTCCCCACAGACAGGTCCGCGGGGCTTATGTCAACGTGCAAGGCGACGAAGGTAAGACGTCCAGCACTGACGAGCACCGCGATTGCCGCACTGGTAGATTAGAGGCATCACGCACCGCGACCGCTGCGTCACGCTCTATGGACGAGTCTAGGCGGCCCCTCTGCAGTCCGACCCTCGCTCTGGCGCCGAGCAACAAACTCCCGGAGCCGGACAGATCCGCAGACAGAGCCAGGATCTGCCACGGCGGCTCGCAGACAGACAGACAAGTAAAGCGCAAACATGATCGCGACGAGAACCACCCGCCGGAGCTCAACGGCGATGCTGTCGAGACGAACGTTCGCGCGATCGCTCCGTCCAAGGTCAATCATTCCGTCGATCTTAATTCCGCGAACTCGCGACTGGACTTTGAGAAATCGGGTCTGTACCCGAAGATCTTGAGAGCAACCGGTAACACGCCCAAATTAGGTAGGAAATTATTGGTCTCGGATCTTGATACCCCGAGCTTCTGTAGGAAAAAGCCTAATTCCGATAGTCAAAGTGTGAATACGGCGCTTAACGACACCGATAACGACACAACTGGCGATTGTACGGAATTAGATAATCAGACCGCGAAAAACTCCGATTCATCGCGCGGCGACAGTAAGGCAGATCGCAAGGTGAAACGTAGCGAGAGTTATCGCATGGCGAACAGTCCGATCATGTTTATCAAGAAGTTCTCCGCGAGCAACCAAGGGGAGAAGTCGTCCAAGATTTGCAGGACGCCCTCCGAGGAGCTACAGGAGGAGTTGCTGAGGGAGAGAATCAACTATCCCGAGACGGTCTCAAGTCCGGAGCCACGGGTCGGTAACAACGTGACCTTCGACAACAAAGTAACGGTGCCTCTTCAATCGGTGCCAACTAGTCCTAGACCGAGGGCTTCGGACCTAGAACCGGCTAGGGTGCTTAAATATTCCAGCAACGACACAGAAATCTGGTAGAGAGTATCACGTTAGCGATTACAATTCAGCAACTTTTGCGATGCGAAGCTAAAACGAGATCAACGAGTTAACTATTTAAAGTTTCAATTCCCATCTTATCAAAGTCGGCCAGTTCTATATAAAGATTTCAGAACTATGCGCGAGTGCTAAGGTACTTTCGCTATAAAGTGTTCTGCTAACGACATAGAAATCTAACAGAGTACATTGCATGTAGTGTGCAACATTAGTTTTGCAATATTGATATGAAGCGGGAACGATGAGATAATGGTGTGCGACCACAGCAAGCCCTGATATAAGTCGGGTCGCTCTCAGAAAAACAGATGGACGTGGATTTGATGGGAGAATAATTGTCACACACTTGGAGAACATGATAATGTGTGATAATATGTTTAATGGCTGAAGGCACCGAGTACAATTGTACTGGATATGTTTCGGAATTCCCTGGGAATAATTTCTAATCTTCAATTAGGGATTAATAGTAGCTCAATAAATGACTTACAAAAATGTAAATGTAAAATTTTCTCGAGAATTAATTTACAGTTAAATTTTACTTAACATAATTTAATTTTTAAAGAAAGTTAAAGTTAAAAGAGTTATGGTAGAATATAATTATTTTTACAAAGTTTTACTATTTGGAAAAATAATATTTTCTAAGGAGAGAAAAAAATGTTCTACTTTTTAATTTTTTCGTTTAACTTTAATATTCGTGGAACAAAATTCCTCGAAAGAACACTCGGGGGAAATAAACTGCATAAAATAGAACACAATTTAATAAGACCGGAATATAGAAGATCGCAAGCTTTTGTACAGCCAAGCATCGCGATATCTCGAAAATCGGCGTTTTTACTGCCAAAGGTTCGGCGCGATAACTTCGCAAGCGAATGATTTCGATGCGTTGAGACTTTGATACGAATATGTTAAATAATGGTAAGATCATCGCGTAAAATAGATCGGAGGATGAGCAAGAATCAGCAAGGTCTAATCAGATATAACTGGAGCGAGAAGTCGCGGGGGAGATATTGGTGCAGCGAATAGCAGCGCGTTATGCAAAAGAGGGAATGGTCGGATCGAGGTAATGTCACTCTCGCGAATTGACGGGGGCAGGCACCAACGAACGAATCGTCCGACGATGGTCACGAGAGCGAGACCGGCCAATTTTTTTCGTACGCGAACAAAGATACAGATAGAGAAACACGCATACCGGTCACGTTTTCCCTTATCTGACACTCGTGTCCGATCTTTCCAGCTGCGAGTCGGCCGACGATCCCCGCGGTGCGTTTAATACTTACGAGAAGATAAATCTCGAGTTTTATCGTCAAATGACAGTTCTTGCGTGTGGAATATTTCAGAGTTCATTAATTTCATCGATAAGAAGAGAATGCATTTGAAGAAAATGGATTAACGGAACCGACTGGGCAACGACTAATTTTTCCACTTTTTTTTGCTGAATGAAACGCGCGTGCTTCTCTCAAGTTTTTTTTTATTTTTCCCCCATTGATTTTTCTCGACATAACACACAGAAGTCTAAAACTTTATATATTAATAAAATTTTATTAGTCGAGCTTTCCCTTATTCAGACTTGTCACGCACAAAGTTGAATCATTTTCAAATAACCATAGCGTTTTTTTTTTAATTGGAGCAGTAAATCAAAGTCAATTGTATCGGGCTGAGAGTTTTTCACTAATTAAATTTTTGGTCATATAAAATTAATTTTAATCAGATTGAAACAAAATAATTGAAATGAAATAATTTGGCATTAAAATCGCCAAATGTTTGAGACTTTCTTCAATCGGAGGGGGGGGGGTGGAGGGGAGGGAACCGGAAATTATCACATTAGGGTGGCAAGTGGGCAATCTTCCGCTTTAGCAATCCGCTGGAAAACTCCCACGAAGCTCCCAGTTAAAGACTCACTTTGTTAACCCTTATCAGCATCATTAGCTGCTGGCTCAATAAGCAACGCGAATTGCATCAGACGTGATGTTTATCCCGGCACGATAATGGCCGGGGTGTCGATAAACAAAAATCCCCACCGCGAGGATTGAAATGCTTTCGTGCGCGTCCCGGCGCCTTCAGTGCGCTCCGACCCGGTCAAATGGATCGCGAGATCGTTCGTTCTCCGTCCGCGGGATTCTTTTCTCCTTCAGTCCGCTCGGAAATCGCGACTTCGGTCCCGATAAGCGGGATGCGGTGCCGCGGGAAACCAGCTTGTAATTTTGCAAACGCGCGGGGCCGCGTGTGTTTAAATCGCCATCGCGTCTAATCACGGTCCAATCACGTTCCCTCAAGTTCGCCGGTCTCGTGATCGCACAACTGTCTTCTGTGACTGATGTCGTTCCTAAATATTCGATTTGTCGATCGAGAGTTGAAGAGAAAATCGCTTTCGGGCGAAGGCCAATCTCTTCCACTTCCGAAAGAGCCTCGAAAGTCCCGCTAGTTGGGTGACTCGCCGCAGAGCGAAAGTTTTTAGCGTGGCGCGATGATAGAACGTTATCGGTACAAAAACGGGGAGGAAATCTTGTCGCTAGACAGACAGTCGCCGGGGCAATACTACTGATAGGCGGAGCAGCGCGGTCGTAAGTCGATTCACGATCCCCGGCCCGATCAGTCGCCCCGGCAATACTTCAACATGCTGGCGAGACATCTCCTCTTCATCGCGACCAGACGGCCCCGTAAGTTGATTTATCATAAAAATCCTCGCTTTACACTAAAGCTCGGTTTTTCATCTTCCAGCTAACTGTTAACCAGAGGTCAGTCCGACCCTCCATCTTTTTCTACATTACTGTCTAAGAAGAGAATCGACTAACCCTCTGGTTAACTAGAAAATGAAAAACCGAAGCTAAGCCTACAGTCCCGTCTGCATTTTTACACTGTCATTAGTGATTTTTAACTTTTCGTTATATTGATTGAACTGATTGAAAATATGTTATCGTAAGTACAGAGACAAGAAGGGAACAAACATACATATTCGTTACATTCTTATCAGCTCGCGTCAATTTAATTTCGTGCTCCATGCTGCTTACTTTTCGACGATTCTTTCCAACTTCGTTTTGAATTTTTCTTCGGCGGCCGTTACGATTGCTCGTAACTAGAGGATGAAAGTGTTATCGTATGTGTTTGCCCCAATGTCCCAAACTTGATTGTCTCCTTTTATTTCGTTAATCTCGGAACGAAAATATTTGATGTCGGTATATGTAACGCGATATACTCGAAGAAAGTATATTTATACCCATTACGTAAACTGATAATTTTATGGACTTGCAGAAAATATATTTTTCATACACAAATCACTCATCTTACCATGAATTTTATTTTTAAACAACACCGGCGAGTTTCTCTAATTACACCTGGAATATATTTCGTAATTAGCATTATCTAAGATTTCATAATAGAATTGAAATACGCGTGTGCATAAATTTCATGTTACGATAATTATCAACATTTTCGTATCAACGAATAAATTCTGTCGTCCATTATTCCCCCAATTTATTCCGTCTTCTTTTATATTGGAAGAAAATTAAGCTACTTTCATGGCAGAGTAAATCAAGTTTTCCCCTTTCTTCTTTACGCTATCGGTGCATCTTTAATTCCTATTAAAGTATTCCACGAAGTACAAATGAGCAAATGGGACGGTAATTTGTCTGTCAAGTCCATGACTGTATCAGTGACATCACTCGAGAACATTAAGTGTCGGCATTGCGTGAGTAACCGCTCGCCGCGCTTATCGGCGTTGCAAAACTAGCGCACGATTATAAAGAAATTCTACACGGGCGGAGAGAGAGAGAGAGAGAGAGAGAGAGAGAGAGAAAAAAACGAAAGAAAGAGCGAGACGAAGAAATCAGTGGAAAGTGCCAGCAAACACGAAAAAAACGAGCACGAGGGAAAGAGAGATGAAAAGGTCGATCCTCTCCTCCGGTATCTTGCCCTTCGTAACACGGGCCACTTGACGAACGGGTGCACAGCGCGAATTGAGCTTATCTCGAAAGTGGACTCTTATCAAGGCGCGTAAGCATGCACCGGCCCGGTCTCCCGTGAAGCGTGTAAACAATAATATTATCATTGATTGACAACAACGCACAGATACATGCACACGCGCGGGAGTAGATAGGGAAAAGTAGTATGATAATATTCAAGTCCTGGGCGACCTGCGATGCCTCGACGGAGACTTTGGAGCGAGCGATACCGTTGCGTAAAATCGCGGCCGAAATTCGATAAGGGTGGCTGGCTATCGCAGATAATTCATTGTGGTTTCCAAAACAATCGGCGTAAGAGCGAGAAAGAGAACGAGAGATGCGGGCGGAGCACGTGTAAATTTCGCCGTCGAGTTTAACGTCGCAGCGGCGTGCAGATAATTTTTATCTCCTCGCTGAGAAAATTATTTTCAGCCGCATGATACAACACGGAGACGCACGAATGCGAGACGTAGTAAGAACAGATCCGTCCAATTTAGGTGTGCAAAAGAAATCGCGTATAAAGATAGGTATAAATCGTTGCGAGATCGGTTGTAATAAGCCTGTAATCGCGGTTTCTCGCGTTATTTATGTTAAGAGCAAAACGTAATTAGAGATGCGCAAGGTATTAAGCTCAAATATAATTTATGTAATTAGCCGTCTACGCCGTAGTATTGTGTTAATCCCACATCCGCTTGTATAATCGCACACGTATGGCCAGTGACAGAGATGTAATCTGGTTTACATTGCCGTCGATCTTTGACTTTTTGCATGGAACGAGCGCCGAGGCCCGGTTGCACCAACGTCGCTTAACTTTAACCTCAGCCTAATTCACTCTTTGTCCCTTTCCAATGCCCGTTTCTACCAACGCAGTTTAACTTTAATCTCTCGGTTCAACTTACCTTATATCTTTTTCTAGTTTCACGAATTAGAAAAAGATTAGCAAGTAATTTAAGCCGAGATTAAAGTTAATCTGCGTTGGTAGAAACGGGCATAAGGGAAAACAGTTAGAGACGAGGAGTGAATTAAGCTAAAGTTAAAATTCCGGGCCTAAGGCCTGGTTTCACCAACGTCGCTTAACTTTAAGCTTAACTTAATTCCTTCTTCGTCTCTTTCCGACTGTTACTTTAGAGAGAGAAAGAGACAAACACGAATTAAACTAATAGCGAATTCGGTTGGTTGCACTGAGTGCACACTCTAAGCCTTGTTTCCAGTCGATTCTTATATTTAAAGATCATCTTAAATACCTCTTGCATTATTTCTTATCCAGAAAAATGGCCCGTACAACGTTTACGCGGATCATTTTTTGACTAAATACTCTTTGAACATGTCTTTAGAACAAAGTTAAATACAAGAAGTGACAAACAAGCCTTAGTGTGCACTCAGTGCGCACTAGTGCAAGCAACCGAATTCGCTATGTGATTAAAGTTAAGCGACGTTTGGTGAAGCCGGGCCTAAGTCATCTTATCGAAGAATAGCAGCGTAATTTTATACAGCCAGTTCAGATATCGTCAATCCATCATATGTTTATAACAATTACATTTATTACCAGCATACTCTCGAGTGAGTAATTATACCAAATTGTGTTTGTTAGTATCCGTAATTTGCCAGTGTCCGTAATTTCATTAATGTTACTACGTACTTTATGCACGTAAGAATATATTGCTGCGCCGTCAGAGACAATGACGATTTGCGACGAAGTTGACGAGCCTGTTGTCGCTGCAACGCGATTTACGCAATTTCTGTGGCTGTTTCTCGCGGCGCAATATAAATATCGTATGCCGTGAAAATAAAAATCCGTCGAAGGAACAGGAAAAGATTAGTCATAGCCTGTAAATCATCTGCTCATGATAAATGCGTAATTCGTCGCAGCTCGCTCCTTACTTCGCATTTATGAGCGATAAGTCGAGAACGAGGGTAGAAAATAGTGATCCCGATGACGCGCAGGAGTGATTTCTTTCGTGCCGATAGCAATAAGAGAAAAGTGTTTTCCATGCGTACGCGTTTGAACGTGTAGTAACGCGGTTACGATATCGTCCATTTCCCCTTGTATTCCACTCGCGACCGATCGACGAGTAGCGCGTTACACCAAGTTAAGTTATTGACCTCTATTCGCATACCGATGATACGAAAATCATGTTATTGTATTTAAGTTACCTTAACACTTTGCTATATAATTATCTCGCCTATTATTGTATCGGAAATTTCCGTGAGATCTAAATGAAGCTTCCATTAAAATTATTCTTAAACTTTAGATATATATATATATATTTAAATATATATATGTATTATATAATTGTTGTTGTTAATCCAAATCTATATATAAATATTAAGTTTTATCTTGAGATGTAGCGAGATTTATGATAGGGACTTAGGGCCATTTTCACAAAAGACGTCGGTTAACTGCTAACCGAAGGTTAATTGAGTCTCTGTCTCTTCTTCGATAGCAAAATGGAAAAAGATGGGAAGCTGACCGAGCTCTGGTTAACAGTTAGCCGACGTTTGTGAAATTGGCCCTTAGTAGTTTAATGACACACAATTAACCGTCCTTCGGTCGGAAGAGTATTCTTCGCGTCCGATCTTTCATTGACTGATCGTTGTTAAATATTTTACAAGTAAACAGCTGTCATCTCCCATAATCGAGATAACGGCAGTTCGTATATATTCCGGCATGCTTGTGAAACCCTCGTAAATGTGCCTTAACTTGCCGTGTCGCATGTTTGCTCGAGATGCGTGCTCGCCTCTCGTTGTAAGTAGCGTCTATCACTGACTAACAAGGACTAACTGTGGGTGCACAGAAACCCTTAGCTGCAATCATGGGTTTCGAGCAGGGTGACACCGTGTTTGCGTTATGTTTTTTTGCGATCGTAAAATATCTTAAAAATGCACATGTATTTCTTCTTGTAAAAATTTCGTAGTTAAATATCATTTTTTGTCGCGACATTCAACGTACCGAACCAAGGTGAAAACCCAAGTCAACGGCGCACGATGCTATTTTTCCCCCACTGGATTTCTAGCAAGAGACAATAAGGATGCAGAGTTTTAGATCAGTTGACTCAAGGCTACAATCCCGATTGGCTCTGGCAAGCGCAATCCAGTGAGAAATGTAGTACCGCGTGCCGCTGGCTTCAGTCTGATCCACGGTGAGAAATGTTCATCGTTCACCGACATACAATGCAAAGAATTGCATACCGGAGAAAACGAAGCAAATTTCACGGAGGATTAACGTGTCTGAAACGATCCACCCTCCCTTCGCTGATGATATAATGTTGCTCTTGTAATGGGTATATACCGCGCCTGTAATCTACACGATAGTTATCACGTCGACTTCGCAGGCGTTCAAGTCGGCGCGATAACATCGTACGCGTACGCGACTTCGCCGCTCACGGGATAACGCGGGATAATAGCGCACCGGTTATAAAACGAGCCGCTAATTGAAATCGCGGGGGGGGGATGGGGATTCGAGTCGCACTTTGCACTTTCCTCACGGTGTTACCCTGACACAGCAGTGTTGATTAATCAGCTTGCAACTAATATCGCGAAGGACGTACTTACAACCTGGGCAGGGGAGCATGCGCTATCAGCGTGTACTGTATATGTGTATATGTGTAGAGCGTTAAGAAACCTATACCCGCCGTAAGCAACGTTATTATAGACACGTATATATGTACATTTGTCTCTCTTGTAACCCACGCGATGCGCCTTCGCGGCGCATCCCGGCCCTGTACATACAAGATATCGCTATCTCCCACAAAACGATGTCACTTTAATGAGGAATGTATGTAATAGACGTCATCCTTTTTGGAAAGTACCTGCATTTTGTCATTTTTTTTCTCTCTTTTTCTCTTTCTCTCTCTCTCTCTCTTTTCTGTCTGCGGTCTCATCTCATCCATGTACACACATCACATGCACCTCTGAGATTGTAAATATTTTGCACCATCCTGAGTTCCCGCCTGGTTTTTTTTTGTTCTTTTTTTTATTATTTTCCGTTTTATGTGTCTCCATATATGTGCCTACTGTATAGTTTTAGAAAAAAAATGCACCTCACGCGCGTGTGGCACCCCGCACTAGTAACCCACATATCATAGTTCCATGCTCCATGTACCTGGTGAGTACGTTTTTTTAACTTCCTAGGTATCGCGCGTAAGTTTGATGTAGAGACGTGAATTTTTCACGTATAACAGTATAACGATTCTTTAGTAAAATATATTAAGTTGTATTCGCATGGCTATTATTTAATATCAGATATTATGTACATTAACACGTGCTACTTAATGTTATTAACCGATTTGATTTCATTTCGTTGAATACTTAGTTTAATTGTAATTAAAATCTAATTTAACGACTTAAGTAGCTAAATATGACAATTAGCATCAGACTCGTGCGCTATATTGTGATTTTCTCACGTTTTGTTTATCGCATGCTTGTGTTTGTGATGCTTTTGCAATATGATCGCTTTGCTTGAATTAATCGCTCAGTTTTAACAATAATCGTCACGTAAATACTTTTAATATGTAATTTAAATCTCAAACGAAACAATTATAATTGTAAGAAATAATTATATGACAAAATATATCGCAATGATAACATATAGGCATGATTTCAATCTAACAAATCTTCAAGAAGATCATTTTGTGATCTTTGAGAAAAGATTAATCTATTTAAAGACTTTTAGGAGATAATAATTCTTATACTGTACTTTGTCAAGTTAAAAGGAAGATGATCATAAGACAAATACTTATATCCTCACCTGCCATTTGCGAGAAACGTAAAGACATTCTCTTAACTGTTACAGACAATAGTTTACTGACCATACCTGCGGAATCCATACCGCCGCAGGCGATCGTTCAACCGCCGCCCTACATCGCCCCGCCGAAACCTGAGGATCGACAAAAGTCGCATAAGTATCAAGATATCCTAAAGGACACGCAGCCACCGAATGTACGAGCCTATCCCGACAATGAGAAGCAATCGATCGTGCAGGATCGCAAACAGGACATCTACGATCCTCGCCGAAACATTCAGCAATATGACAATCGCAAGAACGTCCTCGAACAGCAGAGGATGTCGAACTATGAGTATCAGCAGCGAGTTTGCAACTACCAAACGGTGCACGCGCACAACGCGAGGAATCAACAACTTTGTTCACCGGCCAGAGATATCAATCAACAGCAATTCTATACCCTGCCGACAAGGAGGCCTCAACGGGAGATCGAACCACCTCGCAGTGTCACGCCGGACATCACCAGGGGTCTGGGACGCGGTTCTCTTAGCAGTATGCACATGCTGGCGAAACAGGGTCAGCAGAGGGTCGTGGAGAACGAGCCGACACGACACATTTCCTACGTGGACGCGGGGAGAAGAAGTTTGGAACAAGGGGAGATGGCAGGTAGATTTGTGCAGAGTCAACCTCAGCCCGTCGTGGATGTTAGAAATAGGTGAGGATTGGAAGAAACGTGTCGGAAGAGAGACGAAAGGATTCTTTCTATCATTTCGTTACTTTTAAATCAATCGCAAGGTTTTCAGCAAACCTATTTTGATTAGAGATTTAAAAAAGTGATATTGATAAAAATAATCATAATAACACAAAAATAGAAACTTCGTCGAGCCAACTATGTAGAGCGCGTCAGTTATTATAATTATCTAGATTTTTGTCTTTCTCACGTGAAAGATCGATTAGAAAATAGTACAAATCATTAACCATCAAGTCTATTGTATCAACTGATGCTAATTGCTGCATACATCTCACTTTCATTGTCTTATGCACAGATTCGCAACGCCTCTAAACCAAGCTGCACTCGGCTATCGATTCTTCGCATCTTCACCCGCCCATGACCCTCTTACGAAGTCTCCTAACGCGGATGTTCTAAGGAATAATCCAATTTCGCCGATCGGCCACGGTGGCTACGGTAACGGCTTCAAATCGTCCACTCCTACCAGCCACCACGGACGATCGGTGCCAACCGTGGCGGAACGTCTAGCCCTGACCACGGCCGCCGGTAATAATTGCTCGTCGCCGATACCAACGAGCAGTTCCTCGGGTAGGAGCACTCCCGTCCAGACTTCTTCCGGTAGGACGACACCGACCAACCTCGTCCTGTCGCCCACCAAGAGCACCATGTCCAATGAAGAGCTATTCGCCGCGATTCACAAATCCAAGAAGAAGCTCAATATCAAGCTCAACGAGACCGACGGCGAGAACTTATCGCCGTACGGATCAATGAACTCCTTGGTGAAAACGCCGGCCGGCACCAGGCACAGCTGGAGCCCGGAGTCTCAGAAAGCTCCTTCGGAGGTAATTGCCGCTATCGAAAATCGTCAATTTGAAGACAATTCGTATCCTCAATTTCCATCGGAGAAATTGTTTTCTCGTCAGTCACCAATTTCTTTAATATCGAAGACCAGGCACATGTTTATTTCAACGCAAACTGAGGTCTCTAATTTTTCCAACATCCCGCAATTTGATTTATGTACACCACCGTTTATTTCTCCCGTTAATTCGCCCGATCCATTCCAGATACCGACTACGGTGCAATCGCCTACGTCACGAATGGATTTCAAACGTTTGCTCCTTCAACAGAGTGTGAAGGCCAATCCCATGCGGCTGTCGGCGGCGGAACAGCTGAAACTGTCGCGCCAGCAGTGCCAGCAACAGCAACAGCAATCGTCTCCGAACGCTCACCAGAGTCCATTGGCCAAAGTCTTGAGTCCACGCTCGGTCTGGAGGTTTCAGACCCCCAGGACCGACGTCCTTTCGTCCACCATAATCGAGGACACCGCGGCGGAGGAGAAGGCGATGAAGCCCTCGCCGGAAAACACGTCTCCGATTTCAAGACTGAATTCTAGGCGGCAGCTGGATCTTTGTATCGACCTACCGAGTCACCTGCGCGTCACCGATTACAAGGACAAAGTCACGAGTCTCGATAGACTAACAGCGAACAAGACGGCTATGAACGAGCTTAATCTCGATACCGCGATCAAATCGTTCAATCAAAATAACCATATCCGAGAATCAATCACGAGCACATTCGATGATCCTGTGATGCGAGCCGCACCCCCCGCGAAAATCGCCAACACCGGCCAGGATACCTCGTCCCTGTTGCCTCGAAACGATATCGCCGGCACGGCGATACGATGTTCGAAGGACATGCTCCAGTCTAAGAGTCATGACCCCGTGAGCGCTCTCGAGTCGAGGAGAATCAGCAACCAACTGGCGAGAGCCCAGTTCCTGGCCAGCACACCCCCGAACACAAATCCGTCGCAGAGCCTCTACTTCAGCAAGAGATTCCGAGCGCGATCGGAATCCCCGCGGCACGCGGTGACGCAAAACGTCGCACCGCGCAGCCCGAGTGCTCCTACGCTCGAAACCGCTCTGTGATCCGCGAACACGTGCGAATATCGACAATGATGACAAACGCCTTGCGCAAGACTAGCTCTTCATTATTGCGCATAACATGTGTATTTGCTCTACCTAACGAGCTGAAGTAGACCCAAGTTTATACACTGTATGCGAGAGCTTGTTGATTTAAAAACCAACATTTTTGAACGTGTATTACGACATCGCGACATGTACATAGACCGAGCACTACTGCAATTGTGATAGTAATGCTCCATCTCTGAATTTTTTGCATACATTTTTTTTTTTAAGTAAACTGACAACTATTTTCCATGACGATATCTAGTGCATTAATGAAGAGTTAACGGCAAGGACATCTGAATCTATTCGGGAATTCCGGCGCAACGTATTTATTAATCGTGACCCACCTGAATCGGATTTTTCGTCCTAATTACGGCAGCTCACATCTGTGCTAAGAGACAATAATTCGTGATATGGTAATAATGCGGAAATTAGTATTACCCAGTATTGCGAGGCTTCTTGCATAAGCTAGGAGAACGTTCGGCGCGGAAACGTCGTAATTATTACGTCACACTCTGACGATCGTATGTAAAATTGATTTTACGGCACGTAACGTTACCTTACGTAACTCAAATCTCGTATAATCCAATCAAATAATAAGCAATAGATAGGATATTCTCGACGCGAATAATCTCAATCGAGTGCCTATTTGATATAATCGTTTTATAAAGAAGCATTTTACGTGTGTATGATACTGTAAATTTAATAAAGACGCAATACGCCGTAGATATCAAATATATCGATACGCGTTGACACAATGTGCTCGACATTTTCTCATTCTCTGTGCTAAGCGAGCCTCTTTTTTTTTTCTTTACGAGGCGAACGATTTGATCTTTGCACGATCTCAAAATGCTCACGATCGAACAAGAACTGGGATAAAATGAGTACTAGCTCGGTGTATGAGCACGGGAAATGCGGATGCACTGTATCCCTCGCGGCAGCAATGCACAAGGCTTCTCGCTCGCGAAAGGGTCTATCCGCGACACGAGAGAACTCAGCGACGAAGCTCTTTCGTAGCTCCAGTAAGAATTTTATCGTTACCTACATTCAAATCGAAATATTACGCAGTATTTTATAACCACTTGGGCTATACAATATTAATTTATTCACGGGAGGAACATATTGGTAGCCGAGAGCCGCAATGGAAATTGAGCACGATGAACCATAAATCGCTCATCGCGGTGGAAATTGTGAGCTGAGCGTGGAATTATTACTTCAAGAATTTTCGAGGTTGCTAGGGAGCAAACACTTTAAATAATAAGTGAACTTTTTGTATGAATAACGCAAATAACAACGCTTTTATTTGCGTTACTTGATATAAACGGGATGAATCAGAGAGGTTGGACCAATCTTTCAACATAAGAAATAGATTATCAATCACAATTGTAGCCAACCAAAAAAAAACTGAAAAATCTCGTTATGGATATCTCAAATAATATAATTAAATATTACATGATTGAGACATATATAACGAAATGTTTTTATTTTTTCCGAGTTGGCTACAATTGCGGTCAGTAATCCATCTTCTATGGTAAAAGGTTGGTCCAGCCACACTCCGATTCACTCTTATATTCAAAAGACTTTGAACTTCGCTGAAGAATAGATTCTGGTTTCGCAGAGCGATTTATCGTTCACCGCGCCAGGCTCGTTGTCGCGCAATCGGCGGACTCGGGCGGCCGTTTGCCGACGACTTGCCAAATCGCGAGTTTAATCGTTAAGGTTTATTAATTTATTTGTCGACTTGGACGACGGCAGAGCCCGACGCCCGCCCTTAAGGGTTCGCCTCGGCGAAGGTTGTACATAATGCGCGAGCGGCGTAGTCGCATTAAGTCTCGATTTTTAAGTCTCGCTTGCTAGTCTAGTCGGGGTAGAATTTAGTACGTATATACACGTCGCGTTTTGGAGATCTTTCTGGGCGGAAAAGTGCCGTTAATCGCGTGCGTAATCAAATCACGTTTGATCGATTTTATACGATTATCGAATGATGAAAATAGAGAGAATATACAAATATATATATATATATATGTATACACATGTATACACGCGAGGAAAATGATGATATGTATAGCGTAATACAACAAAGTTGCCTTAATTAAATTATTTCGAATTACAACCGATCGTTTCGGCGACGCGATTCGCCGATTAATTGCGATCGCGCAATGGACGGGAGTAATTTTGCACATGTAACCCGCTAGGCGTTAAGCTGGAAACGTGTTTTGTACTTTGCTCAGAAATAAACAGAAATATTTCGTGAGCCGACGAGTCTCCCTCTTTCCTACGTGCTCCCTAATTCACGTTTGTCGCATCTTTAACGCATCTCGACTGCCAAACCGATCTCGGCGTTGAACTTAATGAATGCAATATATTGTTTCAATATCTCTTATTGCCTTTTTAAATGCTTGGATATTTTAAAATTTGTATTGTTTGTTTAACGTCACGAATATTTAGTCAAATTACTCACAATTAGGTAAATAAAACCGTCACCTCACAAGTAGATGATGGGATCTTTGCGGAAATTTACGCGTCTTAACACATTCGTCATTGTTGAATGAGTGTAAGTATTCTCATTCACACCGAACCGCGCACACGGCGTCTGTGCCATGGTGGATAGAGATCCTCTAATCAGAGTCTAATTTACAATCTCGATCTCGGGACAAAATCAATGTTATTTTCAGAATTTATCAATAATATCTCATTAACTAATGTTCCGAGAAAAGCGAATCTTATCTCATTAGAAGCGCAGGAGTCTTAGCTTTCCACCACGACCATATCGATTCGCGATTTCAACGTAAGACAGAAACCGCAGACGGCGCGTATACGCGTCGTCTCGCGAGAATATATGTGTAAAGCAAAATAACCCACCCGAATTTTGACAAATAAAAAGAAATCAAATCATTTCATCCATCAGAATGGCCAATATTGACCACTTACGTCGTCATATCCAGTCTTCTATCGTTGGGCCAGATTGGACATACCTTTTGTTGCTCCTGGCCGTACAGTCTGGTCATTTTGACCAGAGATCAGAAAGGAAGAAAACTCCTTCCATAGTCGATTTATTATCGCACCGACAGATATTTCGTACGGTTCGAACTATATGCGAGCGTCGATCGTATCGAAATGCACGACCACGAGAAGTTAAAGAAGAAAGTTAATTAAAAAAATTCTGTATAAAATTAATCAAATGTACTTTTACTTCCGTTATTTATTCGAGAATAGATGTATATAGAAAAAACTATTTACTTCGCGTTGTATTTATTATTACGTTAATTACATTTCGCGATAAATTAAAATGTATAATATGGATGAAGCTAAACAATTAATAATTTCTTGAAAATTATTTTAAAAACTACTCGCGAAGACCGACCGCGAAAATACGAAGAGGCGTCTAACTACGCATGTATTCATGCGAGACGCATCTTGAAAATGTATCGTAAAATACACATGCAGAATAAATGACGTGAGACCCAGAGAAAGGAAACTTTCCGCACGATAGATAGGCGGACAATTGAATATTCCAGTTAGTCGACAATCTTAAATAATGTGTGAAAGTATAAAGTTTCAGCGTTCTCGACAAAATATCAGAGTCTCACGACATATTATTCTACTTCATATATAAATTTGTTAATAAAAAATGGATAGACTACAAGAAATCTCGGCTCGACGAAAACATAATATTCGTCATATTTTGCGTGAAAATATGCGATGTGCTGCAATGGGCACCCAAACCTCTACAGTGCAATATTTTTAAATAAATAAACGTGAAATGATTTTGTAAATCTATCCACTTTCAGGCAACGGATCTAAGAGATATAATCTACGATCTACGAACTACAGTCTACGATCGTCTACGAGATAATTTAGATTCGTTGCCTTAATAAAAAATGCTCTAACTCACCGGTCTGATGCGCAGCAGCGGAGTTTGTACGTTGGTTCTGTAACAAATATAAAATTCGTATTAACGCACTGTTCACACAAGAAAACTTAACATTACAAAATATAATTCGTACGCATATCGAACTTTTTTGGTTGGATGTTTAAATGATTGTTGCGCGAAAGATTTTCCGCGAAAGACCTTCGCGAGAATGAACTTTTGTGAAATTTTAAATTATCTTAAATTATGGAGTTGTACAATAAACCGACGCAACAATAAACCGGGGAAAAGATTACACAAAATGAGAAATAACATTTACCTTAAAGTTGCTCCGCTGGCGCCCGATGCCTTTTCCGGGCCTCCTCCTCCACTCGGACTGCCCTCAGGTACACTCGCGAAAGCACAAAGATCGTTCGCGCGAGTTTACACTCCCGGTTACAAAGCCCGCGTGAAAGCATGTACTTCGTTCCGTCAAGTTCGCCTCCACTTCGAGTCGACGACCCAGTGAGAAATGATCCGTCGATCGACGTCAATTCGACGGCGTCGATGTCGATTCGGCGTCGTTTCGACGTCGATCGACGAATCATTTCTCACCGGGCGAGTATTACACAAATCTCCGAAGTGCGGCCATCGACAGGAACGGACGTTTCACGAGTACTTGTTCACGTGGGCTTTTGAAAAGTCTTCAGCTCGATTAATTAAACGGCACTCCCGAACGCGACGCGACACGACGAACCGCCGCGCGCGTTTGCGATTCGTTTAAATATGGGCGACTTCTCCTTCAAGTCTGCGTTCAGAAAGCGTCACCCGAGCGTCCCAGCGTGTCGTTTCTGTTCCTACACTAGTGAACTAGTGCAATAAATTGGAGTAAGACAAGCATATTTTTTCTCATTCTAGCTTACTGCACTAGTTCACCAGTGCAAGAACAGAAAACAAACCCCTTGTTTAAGGGGTTTGTTAAACGACACGCTGAGACGCTCGGGTGACGTTTCTGAACGCAGCCCAAATTAACGTTCGTCTCGACAAATCACCGCGACAATTGCTACTGGATTACTTACGAGAGCCAATCGTAAAACTCTGCGTCCTTATTGGTTCTCGCAGGCAATCCAGTGGGGAAAAATCGTATCGTGTGCCGTTGGCTTCAAATGCGATTGATATAAAATGTTAAGAACTCGCGTGCGAGACGATCGCGTTACGAGGAGCGACGCGAAGACACACCCGCCTCGCTCGACTGATCCGCGCCGAATAATGCGGCTCAATAGACTTGTTTTCGACCGAGGTATTTACGGCGCTACGTCATTTCTTGGAACCGCCGCTCGGCGACCGAGTTGTTTACCGCGCTACCTCATCCCACCGCTCGGTCTACGGCGCCCGGTGAAACAAAGTCACGCAGTACTGTTTTTTTTCTCGATACGCGTTCGCGAAAGGTACGGTAAGAAACTGCGATCGCTTTCTGCAAATGTTCAGTAATCGGTAATTGTCGCGTGATCGCGGAATCCTCGCGATTTACCATCGACGCTCGGTTAACCGGCGAGACCAAGTATTTCGCGCGATTCACGCATGAGATCTGTAGATCCACGAATCAAAGCGCTAGCTGACTTGAAATCATTTCTTCGCTGCGATAATTGTGGACGATAATTAATTGCTTCTTTAACCCTTACGGAAAACCACCGAAATAATTATTAGAAAATTACAGTAATTTCTGATAGTTCAATTACTGATATACAGTAATTTTCTAGTAATTATTTCGTTACTTTTTCGTAAGGGAATCGGTACTCGTATTCGGACACATCTCATACCACGGTGTGAATATACAAGGTGAAACATTGCGTATGTAACCAATTTTTGGGGCAAATTACTGATTGGTCAATTCGGTAGTTTGGGCCGATTCTGATTGACACTGCGCATCCACCAAGTTGCTTCACCTTGTATATCTTTACGCCATGTCTCGTACCGTCGCATTGAATCTCTCGTCGCCTCGAGTATAATTTGTTGGCTGTTTCTAGATGGAAAGCGCGAAATAATACACGAAATATGGAATCGAGTGCTTTAACTAGCATTTATCGGTACGGAATCGTACAAATGCTGGTCAGAATGCAGAACTTTGAGTCGAATATCATCGCGATACGTTTAGGTGGAAAATTAAATATCAATTAATCTTATCAGTGCTTAATTACATAATTGTAATATTTACTCGTCGACAGTTTAACGTCTATACGTCGATTTTTTGTTGAGTAAAATTCATACCGTCGGATAAATTTACAAGAAACACCGGAGTGCAAATAGCAAACTTCGTGCGATCGTATATTTTTTGTGTTTTCTTAATTTCCTTCCGCGTGTAATTAATGCTGAGGTGTTGTACAAAGTGCCACGAAATGTTGTGAATCATTCCACGGGGTTTGGTCACTCGTGTCGCGAGATTTGGTCAACCATGCCACGAAACGTAAGTACACATTTCATATGAGATTGATTGCAAGAAATTCAATATGAACGAGTCCTTTTCATATTTGGTAGAAAATTCATTCATTACATATGAATAGGCGCGAATTAAATCGTATGTCGTAAGTTTGTCAGCAAGTTCCAAAGGAAACGAAATTTAATGAATTTCTGATTACTTTTGGTATTTTATTGACGAGTATCGAATTTAATTATAATTGAATTCGATTGTGATTAGAGGGTCCGTAGTCCGCACGGCTGAGGCGTAAATTCTTTCCAACACAGAATCTTGAAGAAAATCTTGCGAATCACGCGAGTCTAAAAAATATTAGTATTTTCTGTAGACAGCAAAGTCGCAAGCAAAAAGTCGTTATTGTAAGATTGATGAATACTACAGTGAGACATAAACATAGCCAATAAAATAGCAAAGTATATTATTTTGATTAATACAGTATTTAAATAAAAAATATATTAATATATTTTATTTAAATACTAAATATTGAATACATTAAATAAAGAAATATTGATGAAGTACTGGATATATAAAAGCCACCGAAAAACGTACATCGACGTCTTGTGCAGTGACCGGGAAATCGTAGTTCAAGTAGTCCGACAATCGGATTTAATTTTCAAATCGCAATTAACACAGAACACAGGAGTTACCTTCATCAGATTTTATTTTTCTTTATTTCTCTCTAAGTAACGCTGCTTAATACCAAGCTTGAAACTCGCAACTCTAATCGTATGAAGTACATAAAGAATTGTGACGTTTTAATCAACGAAATTATCGTGTCTGTCTTTCTTCCCGATACTATTTCTTATCAAAGGCGCAGTAACAGCGTAGCAAAAAAAAGATTACGCTTCGAAGATCATCGGATGAAAATTTCCATCCAGATCCCGATCTTACGATATACATTACATTATTTACAAATTAAATAATTAAGACAATGCATATATTAGTACTTTTAAGAAAAAATATACGTTACAATATTTTCATATGTACTTTCAGTATACACATTTTGATGTTTTAGAAATATATACAGCCGTAAAAGAATGTAATTTCATTCTTACGTACATATAAAACTTTTCCTCAGGCCAAAAAATTTTAGCTACGCCCTCGTACAAAACCGTGTCGCTTATTACGTGCTGTCTTGGGTATATCCACAATTTCTAACTTCCCTCGTAACACAAAAAGTAACTTTTTTCTGAAATACATTAAATATATTGCACGAAACGATGATAGGAAATATGCTTTTGGATTAAAAAAAAACTAACTATGCTCCTGCATCGAAACATACCGTTTATCCCTCTTTTGGGTACATATTCTTTTAGTAGAATTTCTGACTAAAACACACGAAATAAATTCTTTCTCTGCGGCATGTTAATACATTGCTCAAAATGATAGAGTACATTTGTAGACATGAATTCTACTTAAACTAAATGTCGAGAATAAAAAACTGAAACACTACAAGTATATTTACATAACTAAAAAATTAAATTAATGGGGCGTCTACAATCAGATTTTTAAGACGCAAGATTTAAGAAAGTGACCTATCACAATCGGATGTGAGAATGATCGACTGCGGTAATTTTCTTAAATTTTACGTTTTAAAGATTTCATTGTAGACGCCGCGTATCATAAAGCTAAATATCATCAGCTAAACACGACAATAAACTTCCACAAGGTTTACTACTTCGTGTATGTTAAAAAATGGGCATCGTTCTAAAAAGTTATTTTTCTATCATTTTGAGCAAGATATGTAACGAACAAATATAACTATATCGATACACTGCCAATAATGTCAGCGATATACTTCTACTTTTATAAAACATTTATGCATTTTTTTTTCCTTTCTTCTTCATGAAATTACATGTACATAAATACTATGAAAACGACATATCTCAGATATCATTTTTACATCGCGCTACATAATTTCCTTTACTTGATCGAGTTCTGCGACCCGATCACGGGAAAGATTTGCGTGATTTTGCCAATCCCCTTAGTACGTCCCTCCCTGAACAGCAGTCGCATCCCGACGTGGAGATACTCCGGATGACTGACGAATCTAAATAACACAGAAGCGGTGTCGTTCGTCTGCAGCCCCCTGTCGTTCGCATCCATTATTCCCTCAATGACGCAAGTCTGCCTCACGTTACCCACGTGTACCGTCGTTTGAAATCCAGGAAATATCGCGGTGGCGTGATAGACTATCAGCACAGTAGCCTGAAACACGGTATTTAAACTTTTAACACTTTTGCAGAAATGCTGTGTAACTCGAGCGTCTTGAATATTTCAATTGACAATAAATCTGAACACAACCTGCATTTTAAGAATACCAAAAACATCAACAAGAAAAGTTTATTATAATAAACTTAAATATTATAATAGATTTTTGAATTTATAAAAATAGGAATTTGTATCGCCGTTCATTAATAGCGGAAATATTAGGAATTATAATGCAGTATACGAATCAAAGTTTCTCCACACACACCTGAAAGAAGAGTGTTGCGTGCGGTCGATCACGTAGTGAGACCAAAACCATCCCCGGGCGAAGATGTGGCAAGGGAGGGCTACGGTTCGTTGGTGGTGCCAGAGTCAGACTGGCGCTTTGTGACGCTCTAACTAAACAACACGGGGCTTTATTACGATGTAGACTAACTACTTTCACTGGGCTAAATTCTCCGTCGGGCAAGGGTCCTACTAATAAACGAGTTCCCGGTGCGATCGCCCCTTTAACAAGTAATCCTCCTAGAACTGGTTGTGTCAAACCTGCTACCCTATAGAAAGTAAACGAAGAGTCACTTCTTTTCATCTTTATGAAACGTTTGCGAAGGTTATTTTCTGCGAGATACCACAGGCATAAAAATTACAGTTATTCATGAAATATTAAAAAATAATAGAGAGACCGATCACACATACCTAAACGTTTCGTCAATTTGAAATAGACAGGATTCCGGATCCGAATCGATCGAGTTCGTCTCGTAAGGTGACAAATTTTTGATAAACATAGTTAATTCCTCCAGACCCTCGCCGGTAACGCAGCTGACGCTAAATACTGGTATCACGTTGGACGTGTAGTCCCACGATGGTATGTCATTATTGCTAAACAGTATTAGTTGCTTAGAATAGCCCTGCGTCATCATAGCGTTCTCGAGTTGCGCTAGAGTCTCCGACATATCACAAAATCCCAAGTCAATCTTGTTCACGACAATAAAGAATGGAAGTTTTAACGCTAAACAGAGAGCCATGTGTTCCTGCGACGCTTCGTTCAGGGGCGGCGCTACCACTAGCATCACATGATGTGGCGAATATCCTGAGAAAATAGAAAATTATTTTCAAATCATTATTTTTCTAACAACCCCTCATGCAAATTCCCAGAGATGACTATTCGTTACAGAGTGCTGTGATTAAAATCGGAAATTTGAAAGTATACCCGTCAGTCCAAGTACCGTCGTCCTCAAGTACTTCCGGTGTCCAGCCAAGTCGATAAATGTGACGACTTTCGACGCGTGTTCGCATATCTCCTCGGCCGTCGCCATCTCGGCATAGTTCAAGACGTGACCCACGCTATCAAATCCGATAATCTCGTGCGATATCGAGGACGTACGACCGGTCTTTATCTCGTGCAGGTGACGCAACATGTTGAGCCTCGCTCTACCTCTACCATTGTCCAACTCACCCTGCGTCAGTACCCCTACACACACATAGTTTCGCTTATAATCCTCGCGTTCGCGGTTACAATCTCGATGCATTCACACAAGGTAGATCGCGAATAGCAGAGCGTAGCGTAGACTGTCGGTGCCATTTTCTCTACCTTAAATATCCTCTGCTAATCCTCTCACCTAAGAGAGTCGACTTTCCAGCATCCTGCGCACCGGTGACCGCCAGTCTCAGATCTACGATACTGTCCTGATCCTCTCTGTCATCCTTTCGCAACTTTTTCACCAGCACCTCAGCGACTTTCTTTTCCTCCTTCTTATTATTATTATTATTTTGCGACGCCAAGGTCTTACTTGCAGAACTCGTGGCTATTCGTTCGCGTAATACTCTTATAGTAGCGCCCAGTCTGGAAGCCATGTCCTTCAACGTCTTTAGGGACGCTTTCATTTCCTCTTTCGTTAAACCCGCCAGCCTTCCGTTGTCCTCCACTCCTACATGTGCGATAAATGTGTATTGAGAGACGAGCAAAAGGAAGGAAAAATTACAACTTGTCACAACTATTTATACCGATTTGATAAATCGCCTCTCCATGTCCCTCTCTTAGCCTCCATTTCATCTGGGTGACGAGATGCTCGAAACGTTGACTAGATGGGTTTATCAATTTTAATTTGTACTCTATGTTTCCTTGCTCTGGTTCCGGTGGAAGTCGGTCCTCTTGATCCTCATCGGCACTAGAAGTATCACAATCCGACAATCCGTTTCCCTCATTCTCAAAGTCGTTCCACTGCCTCTTCCTCAAGTCCTTGTCGCTTTGTGGATCAAAAAGTTGTAGAAACGACTCCATATCTGCAATTGTCAATCGTACATAGTAAACAATAGATTTTTACTCATCATTTTTACAAGCTGCAAAAATTCTAACAAAATTAACAAACAAAAATACGGGTAATTCTACAGAATAGGACCTTTTCCGAATTTTTATATTTTCTTGCGGTTTTCTTGGTAAAAACCTTTGTTGTGACTCCGACAGTGATAATCAATCGGGGATGTACACGCACCGGCATAAATGCTGTCCTTATCCTTGTGAGGTGCACGCACACAACTAGAGTCCCTGTAGTTGTGTGCGTGCACCTCACAAGGATAGGGACAGCATTTATGCCGGTGCGTGTACATGCTTGGAGACAGTATGTTCCACCCCCCCCCCCATGGGGGGGCTCCACCTCGTTAAAATATAACCCTACCCAAACTATATCCGAGGTGTGGGGCGGATCTTACTTCACGTGGAAAGTCGCAAACCCATGTGGAACAGTACAACAAAGCATGCACTTCCACCGTTGTACTGTTCCACATGGGTTTGCGACTTTCCACGTGAAGCAAGATCCGCCCCACACCTCGG